TAGACACCTTTGGCCAGGTTTAAAGCAGTAATCAGGTATCACAGCTACCCATGGGGCATGTCTGACTTTGATGTGTATATATTGCCATTATTATGTAATAAAAAAAACAATTATTGTTATTATCTTTAGTGATAATGACAAGTTACTTTAATGCATTTACACTAGGAAATGATAAAGATTAATGCTGATATTGTCCAAAACCTCACTTTGCTTAGGGTGTTTCCAAACTTTTGGAGGGCAGTGTAGCTATTAAAATATTAAGTTTCCTCTCTAAGCTGATCTGCTAATTTCCTACTTATGTTGCTGAAGAATGTAGTCAGCTTAACCTAAACAGCTAATTTCCTACATATTTTGGTGGAGAATGTGGGCAACTTAACCTAAACAGCTCATTTCCAACACTAGTTATCATAGAAATTAGTTATCTTTAAAATGGATATTATGAATTTTCCATGACCCTGAGCCTTGACGACCCTTCCTAATGTAACATTTGAACATTTTATTATGTTAGTAACGTATGTACAGTATGTGTAATGTAAGTAACTAAAAAGCAAAGGAATATTCTCTGCACTGATTTACTGGTCTGCTCTATTGTTATAGGAAAATAATCCATGCCAGAGTAGAGAGATGATTTTGTGTGCGCTTGCAGAAGCAGTGATCACATGAACGGCATTGTTCACACACTTGCCTGCGTAGCTTATGTACATCCAGAAGCTTTAAAAGCAGCATTTACTAGATGGCATGTCTGAGCCAAAACACTCCCGTCCATCAGGTTTTCAAGTTAAACTATAAATGTTTAGCATTTTTATGCACAGCAATGTTAAACATACTGACAAGCTCTGTCTCTCTTTAAACTCTGAGAGTGGCGTCATGATTATTGTCATGGGCTGGGTCTCAAATCTAAAACTCTGACCTTAGACTCAATAATATTTACTACTCTAGAAAGTCCAGAAGACTGGTACACAAAACAGACCTTCTGGTAGGGTTGAAGGTGACATGAGAGGTTTTTAAAATTTAAACACTAACTGTAATAGGAAAACTGGTTAATTTTAGTACTCAGTAATGGTCTAGAGCTGTACATAAGTATGTGATTTAAGCGAGAAATGAGATGCTGCACTGGCATAGATCAGCAATAAAAATGGACAAATTTCCCTGTCCATCTACCTCTGCTATACAAACTAGTGTTCTGGCCTGTTCAGCCTGTACCCTATTAATTTAAACATGACTAATCTAAATGTGACTCCCAGTAACATCTCAAAGTAGTAGCACACAATATCTTCAATATTTCTTTGATATATTTTAATTTGTAAAATAAATGAATGAAACAAAAGAGGAGATAGTGAGTTTCTCTTGTGACCCCACAGTAGTTTGGGATCCTCTGTTTTGCAGGTTGATATGGAAACGTGTTAGCCATGGTTGTCTCATTCCTGACCTGCCCCCTAGTGGTTATAGCTTATGATCATTCAGACACACAAAAAAGTGTTAACATGAGTATGTGAACAATGCTGCTTACATAGCATATACTGTATACACTCACTGGAAACTTTAATAGGAACACCCATACCCCTGCACAATCTTGAAATTATCCAATCAGCCAATGATTTAACAGCAATGCAATGTATAAAATCATGCAGATGCAGGCATAGAGCTTCAGTTAATGTTTACATCAAACATCAGAATAGGGAAAATGTGATCTCAGTAACTTTGACGAGTGCATGGTTATTGCTACCAATCACATGGAATTTTCACACATAACAGCCTCTAAAGTTTACACAGAATGGTGCAAAAACAGCCAGGGGCAGCAGTGCTGCAGGATGAAATGCCTTATTGAGGGAGATACAACAGCAGAAGACTACTTTGGGCTCCACTGCTGTCAACCAAGATCAGGAAGAGCCTTGATGCATGTCTTTCTTGTAGCCTGATGGTGGGTCCAATTGAGCAGTGCTAGAGGCTCAAAGGGAGTGTGGTCCAGAGCGGGGTGTGATGAGTGCTTAAAGGTAGGTGGACACGGACAACATTTTTGTCTTTG